GGGGGGGGGGTCTTTATTTTTTTCACTTTTCTTTTTTGGTACCAGGAATCAAACTCAGGGTCTCGAGGTTGCCAGGCAAGCGCTGTGCTGCTGAGCTACACCCCCTGCCGAAGTAGTTTAGACTTTTAAGAGGGCACAGTTTATTTTATAGTGGGGGAAGCAGAAGGGAGCACGAAGTTAGGCTGAGGCAAGCCAGGAAAGCTTCCTAGAGGAAGTAAGTTTTCAACCAGAATTTGAAGGATGAGAACAAAGGGCTGGGAAGAAAGTGAGCTGAGGGGATACTGAGGGTGCCTAAGCCAAGGAATGGAAATATGAGCTTACTTCTTGGCCTCTATTCCCCACAACACAGCTCTGGAAGACCTGAGACATGACCCAGAGGCATCTGTGTGCATCTATGCGGCCCAGGCCCAGGACCACATCCTGGCCAGCGGTAGGCAGAACTCCTGCCCACCGCTGCCATGTGGGGCCTCGCCTTGCTGCAGCTCCAGCTGTGAGAACCTGCCCATTTCCCACAAGCGGCCCTCCTGGATCATGCAGGCCCTGAGCTCCTGGAAAATGGCCTCGAAGCAGTGATGTTCTGGGCACCAGCACTCCTAGCTCACCATAAATGCTCCATGTGGGCATCCTGAGCTCTTCTTCACGGGACAGGCCTCGCTCTGAGCCGCCACACTGTGTGTGATGGATCCAAGAGGGGAGTGTGGCCTTCCCTTGTTGACTACATTGGTGTTTACTGAGGTGCGCTGGCTGTTTTGTATACTTTGTTTAACGGGATGCTGAGGCTCAGAGAGGCGAGGGGCCTGCCCAAAGTCACACAGTCAGTCTGCTGGGCATCTCAGTTTCCCTCTTTCCATATTGCAAGAGTGAAAGGAGGTGATGAATTGGATGGCCTTTGAGGAAAGAGGGAAAGCAGCGCCTCCTCCCACCCCATGACATCATGCATATCCCAGAATCCTGATGTCTGATTTCTACCCATGAGTCTTTGCCCAGCAATTGGCCAATGCTGATTCCTGTGGTATTTGGTGAACTCCTAACCCAGCCAGGCCTGCTCTGGAGGTTAGGGGTACAGACCTGAACAGGATCCAACCACAGGCCCTCAGCAGTGGGAATAGACTGAGGCAGTGGCTCGAAAGCAAGGGTGCTCTTGACCTCAGGGAATATTTCAGAGTGTCTGGAGACACTTCTGGTTGTTTCAGCTTGAGGGTGGAAATGCTCTCAACATCTACTCACCAGAGGCCAGGGTGTTAGTAAACATCCTACAGTGCTCAGGAACACCCTGCAACAGGGCCATCCAACCCACATTGTCCAAAGAGCTACAGTGGAGAAGTTTTGGCTTAATGGAAGTATCAGGGACATTAAAGACACCAAGGGCATAGCAGGGAGGCAGGGGCTGTGGAGGGCAGAGGAGATGTGTAGGCCAGCTGGGATGTTGCCGTGTCCGGGAAGACTTCCCAGAGAACAGACCCCCAGGGGTTTAGAAAGATGACCATGTGCTGGGCTTGTGTGCAGGGGAGCAGGGCACACAATGGTCAACTGGAGATTTGTAGGCCGTAGAACCTAGTGAGAGGGGAGAGGAGAAGGTCCATACTGCTTAGGCCTCAGCTCTGCGTTAGGAGGGGACTCCATCCAAGGAGCATGGGAAGGCGTTGCGGGATGCTAAGCAGGTGGCAGATGTGGGCAGATATTGGCTTTAGAAAGCCACACTTGTTAGGTATACACTTGTTATCCTAGCACTTGAGAGGCTGAGGCAGGAGGATCATGAGATCAAGGCCAACCTGAGCTACGTAGAGTTCAATGCTGACTTAGACTGTATAGCAAGACCCTATCTTAAAAAAGAAAAAGGAAGGGGCAGGGATTTAGCTCAGTGGTTCCAGTGCCTGCCTCGAAAGTGCAAGGTCCTGAGTTGGATCCCCGGTACCAAAAAAAAGGAAAAAATTCCTTCCGTATGGGGCTACAACAGCCCCTAGGCATTGCTGGCAAGAGGGTAGATTGGTGCAGCCATTCTGGACAGGACTCTGTCGCTGTTCAGTCG